GAGAGAGAAAACCCAGATCTGGTATGGATTTTAAAAAATACCAAATCAACATATTCGATCAATAGATTCCATGGTGATATAAAACTTGATTTGATGTTGATTTGCAGAAGTAACAGGTTTAGGCTTTTGAATCTGAAAAGAAAATGAAAAGAGAAACGAAGAACACTGCCATTTTTGTGAACTCGATTGAAACTAAGAAAAGAGAAAACAAATTTTCATGTGGATCCCACAAAATTTTTAATGATTGTTTGATAATTTGATGTGTGAAAAAAAAGCCATGTTGACAAAATTTTCTCTCGTGGATTTACACGTCATTAAGATTAAAAAAATGCAGTGATTTGTGGCATTTTAACATGCCACTTGTCATTTAACTGACGGAAGGACTATTTTGGTACCAAAAATAAAAGTCTGAGGATAATTTTGGTACGTTTTAAAGGTGAGGGACAATTTTGGTGCCAAAGTCAAAAGTTGAGGGACCAAAATGGTACTTAAACCATTAAAAAATAATGAAAGTTAATTTGTTATATGTTAATTATTATCATTTAATTTTATAAAATATAAATACAATAAAAAATATGTTGTTAAAATTTTTTAATTATTACCTTTTAATTATTATAATTTAATTTAATTTTCTATAAGATTGATTATACATTAATAATGATATATTAATTATTATATTTTAATTTAATAAAATATAAATACAATATAAATTTAATTTAATTTATCTTCAATTTTTATATAAAAATTGGAGTTTTCAAGTATTTTAAATCATTAGTATAAATATATTTAATTATAAATATAAATAAAATTTCAATAGCATATTCAATATAATTAATTTACTATTTAAACTATAAATACAATATAATTTTGTCTACATTTTTCCTATACCATAAAAGTTTATAATATAATTGCAACTAAATAATCAAACTATGCTGTACAAAAAATTAATAATATCTAAATATATACTTTTTAATATTAATTTATTGTAAATTACTTATCTCAAATTTAACTACAATATACAAAATTCTTTTCATCTTTTATGTAATATAAAATATTTTTACTATTCTTATAATTAAATAAGGAAATAATTCTATCTAAACTTCTACATAGTCCATATTTTCTTTATACAAAATCAAAAAACATTTTTACAGTTAATATTAAGAAACAATCAACTTGCTAAAACTCAAATTAAACATATTATCAAGAGAGATCAGGTAAAGACAAAATTAAAGATTAATAGCATTTTAGTTTACCATTTTAATTATTAAATACAAATTTTATTTTATTTATTAACTCAAAAATACAAAATATTCACAAAAAATTTGAAATAATAAGAAAAAAAATTAAAAAAAACTCACTTATGGAGTAGATTGAAAATCAATATGGCTGCATATGCTCAAATATGGTGATAAAGGCTCTAGATCTGAAGAAATAGAT